ACTGCGGGCTATAAATACACATTTGCTAATCAACAAATGAGTACTGTGAACAAATAGGGCATAACAGTAACTAAAGACAACCAAAGAAACAGGAACTAATCAAATATGAAACACAGGGACCAAAGGAAGCAGAAATACATAATCAACAAAGGTCCAAAAACAGAACATAAATGTGACATCATGACACATCACAATATACTATGCAATTAATTACTTCACTAACAATGTAATTAATTTCATGCAGCACAATTGTGTCAGGGGTACACAGACCAGAGAGATGGTAAGTAAAGTTCAAGCAGGCTTTATTGAACACAACAGCATTGATAAGGCGATGGGTGATCAGATAAGCATAGAAGATGCAGCAGGAGGAAGATCAGACAGGTGAGGAGCCACACACACACGTGTACAGGCCTTGATGAAGAGGTAAACACTTTCCTTTCTTTTCTTGTAGGAAGAACACACGGCACGTGGAGATGGAGACACGGAGCTGGAGACATGGAACTGGACACTGGAGATCGGAGATAGGAGACTTGGTAGTGTAAACAAACATAAGTATAGTGATGGGATGGATGATACAACGGCTCCGATGCTCTGATGCAGTTTTCAAAGCACTATTAAGGATGGGCAGATCGATCCTTAAGTATCGATCCTTTTGATACTGATACTGTTGTATCGAAATGATCGATTCTCACCTAAAAATATTGATTCTAAAGTACATTTTTTAACCATTAATTTGATTTATTTATCAAGAAATTCGGTGCATAAAAAAAGCTTCTAAGTATAGCCTATTAGCGAATAATTGTGTTGGAAGTGAAAAGTGAAGTGACATGTGGCCAAGTATGGTTACCCATACTAGGAATTAGTGCTCTGCATTTAACCCATCCTAAGTGCGCACACACACAGCAGTGAACACACACCCAGAGCAGTGGGCAGCCATTTATGTTGCGGTGCCTGGGGAGCAGTTGGGGGTTCGGTGCCTTGCTCAAGGGCACCTCAGTCATGGTATTGAAGGTGGAAGAGAGCACTGGTTATTCACTCCCCCCACCTACAATTCCTGCTGGACCGGAGACTTGAACTTGCAACCTTTGGGTTACAAGGCCGACTCTCTAACCATTAGGCCACGACTTCCCCAGAACCATTTATCCTGCTCATTGGAACACATGCCATAAAAAAACACGCTGTTGAAAGACAGACCCAATCAGTGTTGCCAGATTGGAAATGTCCAAGTATCGTACCAGAAGCTCAAAATTATCGTATTTGGAAGAAAATTATCGTACACGAGTCAAACGTACAGAATAGCTATTTATCTAGATTCTAGACCAACTTTTTGACACGACCTGCAAATTACCACAGGTGTACGTAAGTGGGAAGGTCCAAACTCCACCTCTGAGTCACAGTTATCAGAAGCCTGCGTGTTGCCAGATGTTGAGGGGGTTAGTTTGGGGTACAGATTTTATGCCATCATGGACCGCATCACAGCAACATAGTGCTCGTTTAAAAGCAGGGCACGGTGGACGTAGGAGCCACAGCTAGATTAATTAGTATAGAAGAAGCCCTATGATTACAACGACCACCATTTGAAGTTTCACAAAATTCTGAAATTATCGTACATTATAGGATTTTTTTCATTATTGATCGTACATCGTACAGAGGTCTAAATTATCGTACAAATACGATAATTATCGTACGTCTGGCAACACTGGAACCAATCAATCACAGACAGCGTTCACTGCTGACGCATGGCTCACAGTGCTTGTTCAAATAGAGCTGAGTTTCCCAAAAGCATCAGAAGCATAAGTAGATCTTAAGAAACCATTCCCACATTATTACATTAGCCTACATAACATTGTTACTATATATCAAATTAATTCTGAAAAATGCATCACGGTTTTAACACAAATATGAAGCAGCAATAATAATAAATGTTTCTTGAGCAGCAAATGATATTAGAATTTTAAATTATATTAGAATTAGAATTTTTCAAATAGGTGCAGCCTTGGTGAGCATGAGACTTAAAAAAATATTACAAAATATTACTGACCCCAAACTTTTGTGTACATGTAATATTTATTTTAAATTGGCTAGTTTGTGCAAGTAAATTTATTTAAACTGGTTGTTAAAAGTTCAAATGGATTGTGTTATGTTCTGTAATTGCTGTTAATAAATCTGTCAGAAAAAATATGCTGGCAGCCTTTTACAAAAATTAACCATGGTTTTATTACAGTAACCACAGTTTACCAAAGTATTTGTAATAAAACTGCAGTAACCACAAATTTACCATGGTAATAATAATACAATTAAATTTTAGTACTTATGTTATGTAACACCATGTTTATTTCTCATGAGGTATCCTCAAAGGTGCACCTCTGTAACTTATCTACCCTTAAAGCATGCATACTTGTATGGTATTAATATGCTCACTTTTAGGGTTACTGCCCCAGTAAAGGGCTAAAATACAATTATAGTATATTTTATTTTTGACAGTGTAAACAAAAAAGGCCTATGAAATGTTAAAAACATGGCTTTAAAATCTAATATTAAGTGAGTATATATATTGCTGTATATATTACTGATTATATTATTTTAATCATTTAAAAGGTCAGTTTAGTTTAGAGGTATCGATATCGGCGATACTGGGCTTGAAAATATCGGTATCGGATTGAAAATTAAGCATTATTGTTTCACACACTGTGCCGATGCTTGTATCGAAATGACAACACCACGTGATTGATGACGTTTGAAGCTTCGAACATCATGCAGTATCGGAAGGTCGGGACAGCTGGTTTGAAAAAAAATTGGCGCTTCGTGACCCCACCTGACCTGATGCAAGGGACTGTAACCTCAACACCAGATAGAATGTGAATCATGTTTTATAGCTAGGGTCTCAGAGACCCTGAGCAGAACATAAAGGTTAAACAGCTCACCCAAAATATTTTTTCAGCTACCTACGTCAATTATTAAGCTCCACCGACTGCGCTGATCAAAAGCATGATGGGAAATGACTGACTGACGACACAGCTTAATGCTCATTGGTTCAGAAAACTGTGATGCTAAATTAGCTAAATTTCACAAACAAGCTTTATTGACCTGGGTGCTGGTGTTTAAGCACAATTTTTCCCCAAATAAATATGTTATTTGCAATAATAGATGTATTCAGTATAAAAATAAATCTCTCTTTTATAAAAGTTCGTATGAAAATGATATTGTGTTAGACAACTTCTAAATCCAAATGGTAATTTATTATCTTAAATTTGGTTTTCCAGTTACACCAAAAGAGTATGCTGTTGTATTTGATGCCATACCTCAACAAGTTGTCCATTTTATAAGAGCTTGTGCAAGTGATACTTCTGAGGCAATATATGTTAAAGACAGCATGTTTCTAGGAAGCATTGATATTCTTAAACAAAGTTGTACTAATAAATATATTAGGAATATTATAACAGACGATACAGCTACGTATAAAAGCTTATTGTGGGCCAATGTATTTAGAAATATAAATTGGAATAAAGCTTGGCGTATTTGTGAAATATACTGTTTAAACAATAAAGTAAAAGAGGTTACATTTAAAATTTTACATGGTATATATCCAGCTAAAAGTGTGTTAAGAGAGATTTAATTTGGATATTGATTATTCCTGTGATTTTTGTTAAGTGGAAAAGGAGTCTATCTGTTTTGTAATTGTGTTTACACAGATTTTATGTCTGGGTGGATATGGAATTTTTCATTAGAAGGAAAACAAATATTATATTCAAGTTAAATGATTTTGATATATGTATTATTCCAGTGAAAGTAATAATAATAATTTTACTTTATTTGTACAGCTTTTTATTATTTGGGGGAAATTTCACATACATAAGAAGAAATGGTCAGGATCCAGGCCAAATTTCATTCATTTTCTTCAAGAGACTAAGGACTACTGCACCAGTTTGGAGAACATTGTTAATAAAAAAGCAAAGAAGACTTGTAATATTTTTCACGAATATAGGGTTTTTGATTAATGAATCAATGGTTTGTATACTCTGGCATGTTTTTGTAAAATATTGTATATTTTGTTCTGGTTAATAAAAAAAAAAAAAAGAGGCATTAAAAAAAAAACTGTGATACTGCGTTCTCTTCTAAAATGTTTTATTTTTTTGTCTGGTTCCATGCGATTATGTATTTAAATTACGCATAAATGTTCCCAAACACTATGATAGTGCGATCTGTGTGAGATATGTGATTGTTGTCATATTTCTATAAAAATCTAAAATACAAATAGCAAGCACTTTGAGTGTCTTGTTCATCAAATTAATTTTCATATGAAAGCAACAGAACTGAAATTATATCATGTTAATCAGCAGCACAACACACGAGTGTGAATAACGCGATATCTGCCTTTGATCTCGTAGGGATCTATTCCACTTCGAGAGCTCAGAACTGTCCGTCTTGACTGCGCTTATTTCACTCCTCCCCTCACTGCAGCCGCCTACTCTCGCCTTCATTTCAGGCGAGGCGAGGTGCATCTCAAACAAGCCTAATGTCTGGTAGGTCTTAGACGAGACCAGACAATCTGTGTGTGTGTGTGTGGCGAGTCCTTTTAACCAGTGCAGGTGGAATGAGAGACAGCTGGTGATTGGTGACAATGAGCAGGTGAGCGGCGGGAGGGATGATGGGAAATGTAGTTCAGATTACGTGACAGAACTGGTGACCGTGACAAATTGGGCGATTACAAAGAGTATAATCAACACATTACACAACTACACATACTCCAAATCTTGTAAAACATGTAAATCGTCATTCCAACACAGACTGAAGAGGAAACGTGTAAAATCAAGCTTTAAATACAACTGCAGAGAACACAGTAGCATCTCATTTAGAGGAATAACTCCTTACAGGCTACTAGGATTGATCAACCCAGGTAATGTGATTATCCGATATCTTGCTGAAACTTTATTTTACTCTATTGCACTTATTGTACTTTTTTATTGTATATTAGAATTATTATTAACATTACTTGCGGTAGTAAATCACAGTTAAAGTTAAAAACAAAATACAGTATCTGTGTTACAGATCCTATTTACAAAAATGATATGATGCATAATAAATATAACAGATACTTCTATCGTTCAGATACTCTTCATATGATTTCTGCATGGTCTCAGTGTCTTTCACTCCCAGTATGACAAAGAACAGGGTCTCCTGAACTCCTGTCCAAACTCATGGATCCATTTATTAGCCACTGAAAAGACACAATATATGAAATGTAGTCAGATTAACATAGATTTATTTACACATGATAGAAGATACACAATGAAACAGTAATCCAAGCCGGTTACAATATCTTTAAAAACCTACCCCATTTGTTACCCCTTAACACAGGGCATCCAGCATGCTCTGTATACAAATCCACATCTCCATTCTTGTGCAGGTTGTACCAAAACACGGCCGAACCCTTAATAAGTAGAAAAAGGATGCATTCATTTTACTTAAATCATTCTAATATACCGAATGAATCCATGTATCATTTGATCATTCGTTTTTTGATTTAATATTGAAAGTAGAAAAATGAGAAAACGGCTCCTTTTTCGTTTTTTTTGTATTTTTTCCAAAAACCGAAAACCGAAAATTCATCGTAAATTTTTTTATTTTTTTTCTAGCCCTGTCTAGACTCTGCCCCAGTATGAGTTGTGTTGAGCTATTCATAAGCCAGTTTGTTTGACAAAAAAAGATTAAATGTAGTTGCAATAAATGTGTTAAGAATCCATACAACTGCAGCAGCGGAGGACTATTATTCTGCTGCGTGATACTGCAGAAGAACTGATGACGGCACGGTTTGATCTTCGGCTGACCAATCAGCAGAAAGGGGCGTTTAATTCCCGCCCACGTGTAGAAATCCAACATTCAAGCTGTTTATTCATTTTTCCACCCATGAACGAAAAACGAAAATTTAAGATGAATTTTCGTTTTTTGGTTTTTGGAAAAAGGAGCCGTTTTCTCATTTTTCTACTTTCAATATTAAATCAAAAAACGAATGATCGAATGATACACGGATTCGAATGGATCAGTGATTTGAGGGTTTACCTTTTTTGGCTTCAATGCAACTCCAACTTCAGGGAACACAGTGGCGCCCCCTATCTGCACATCACTCATCTACAGACAGAGCCATGCCATTTATTGTTCATAAGGATTGTAAAATACAGGTAATTTGGAGAATGATCATATGAAGTAATTTGGAATTTGGAGGGCAAACTTACATAGATTAAGAATGTAGCAATCCTTCCATTCTCATTGTCCTGTGAGATCAAACAAGTTATCTTGCAATGATTTGATTGGTTAGTATGTCATCAAACTCTCACTGACACAGAATAGAGCTATTCAGTTTGAAAACCTAAAAGAGAGCCATGGATTCTCTCTGGGCTAAGGAAAGGGGGAATCCATGACAAATACTGTGTTGGCCAAATTGGTGTAATGATTTTTTTTTTTTGTATAGTGATCTTACCCATTCATCATAATGTGGTTCATATCTGCCACCAATCCCATAATTCTGAACCTGGAAAATGATTGCACTTTAATTGAAATGAAATATTCAGGTAAAACAACACCTAATATTTCACAAGGAAAATACATATTAATCAGTTGAAGATACCTTGATATCCATTGAAGTTTAATAAATGAGGTGAATATAAAATCGACTATATAAAAATATAACATCAGTCCTCAAAAAATGTATGCTCTTTGGTAAAAGTTACAAAAGAGCAGACTAAACCAACGTTGTCTGGAAGTTATATTATATTATTATGCAAGAGAATGTGACCAAGCTAGCTGCAAGACATGTTTTACAAAGCTTTGTTAAACTAGGACAGAGACAGAGTTGTCCTTAAAAAGGAGATTCTGTCTGTGCTTGAATAGGTGATTTCTTTCTTACTGTGACCATACATATAGTTCTTCAGCTGAGTCCATGGATAGTCCTGTGATGTCTGCAATCCTCTGGCTGATAGGAGCAACCACAATAGTGTCTTCCTCTAGAAAAACACTGAAAACAAGGGAATTAATTTTCAGTAACACTTTACAAGAACACTTAATTTGTTGTTATCAAATTGAACCATATTGTAAAGTCTTTCCATTTTTCTTCCAATAAGAAGTGTGAAGAAATAATATAAGTACTAATAGAAAAGTAATGTAAATGTTCATTTTGAGTGAACAAAATGGGTGAAAAAATGGATTATCATCACCCTTGCGCAGTACGGGTCTTCGACACTCCCCTTGTAGTCTCAGCCCTAGAAAGCTACAGTAGGTCACAAAAGGTAAATGTAACATCAAAAAATAAATATTTATATATAGCATCATCAAAAGTATTAACAAGATATTAAATTATAATAATAGTGAAAAATATTTGATTGATTTCTGTGTATGTGTGTGTTATATATCACTTGAGGTCTGGAGATATTCTTCAGGATCTCAATCTCTCTGTCTGAAATAATGTCATGATATCTGATGATGCGAGGCTCGTCCCACTCCACTTCCTCTTTCACAGGTGCATACATCAGTCTGGGGTTTCCTCCACCTGTGCTGTACCTACAGGACAGCGCCCTCTGCCTCTTGGAGGTCTGATTTGATCAAATATAATAAACGTCCAATCAATACACAAAGCTTCACATTGACCGTTTGCAATTTCATGTCAAATGATTTAAACTGAGACATTGCACTTGCCCTCTCATCAACCTCTCCTCTGCACAGTGATTCATATTTACTTGACTCTGTGTTCAGTGTGAATATGTCGGGGTATGATTCTCCCTGGAAGCGAAGGAATCTATAAAGGTCCAGCTGAACCTTGACTTCATCGTTAGTTGGGTCTGAGGCAAACAAAGTTTATGACTTCAATACTCTGATTGCAAAGCTGTCTGAAACCTTGCGTTTTAAAACATTAGCATTAAACTCCAGGACACCATGAGCTCACCCAGATTTAAAAGCCATTGGCTGAAGTAGATTGCCACAGGCAGGCTGCCAAAATGATAGGCTGTGTCACTAAGGTAATGGAGCAACTCTTCCTCTGTAATGGTTGAGTATTCTGTTAATCTGTCCAGACTGTACAGACACCAGAGAAAGGCATGCTGGAATTTGTCCTCTTCATAAGCAACCAACCCAACATAGAAAGCTTCATCTGCATTTAGAGACGTTTCTGTCAAATGAGAAATAAAAGCATCAATCAGATTGGAACGTGTTTTGAATGGAAAAAAGTGAAACTCTTGCAATGAAACCACATTGGTGCAGGCATTTCACCCTTAGTGATATTGTGTGGGTAGAGTTTGTAGATCTCTTGCAGTCTGATCAGTCCTGAAGCTGCACCATCCAAGTCTTCCAGCTGTGGGATCTTTGCTAATGTCAGTAGTGTCTGATACACTGCAAGATTTTCAAACATGAGACCAGATCCATAACAACTGCATTGTGATCATAGAACATGTGTAATAAAATAGCTTCAAAGCATTTATCACTGCGTGACTCTTTGTTCTCCACATTTTTATTTCTATTAATAAACTACAATACATGATTATTTCCCATTTCCCTTTATGAAATAAATAAGCTCTCACATTGATATTGACTCTGTTGAGTGTAATCTACAATGTCCATCCATTCAGCTCTCACTTGTCTGAGGAATTTGTAAGCTGCCACAGGGTCTTTGATTTTATCAGGGTCATCAGGGTCTAAGTATGAGCCCAGTTGAAGCAGCAGAAGAAGGCTGGATTGAAGATAAAAGTTCATCAAATGTTGTAGTGATAAATAAATGTATTTAATCTTGATCTAAGATCAGATGTAAGATTGTTAAATATCCACAATTAGTTTCTTATATACCAGGATATTGCTATAAACTGAAAAAAATAATAATAATTTTTTAGATATGGAATTTTCACCTCTTCATTCTCTTTAAATTTTTTTCTTCAGCTTCAATGTACCAATCGAAGGTCTCCAGAAGTAATTTTTCTTCTTCAAAAAGTTGTGAAATTTTATCTATAAAACAATTACATCTCCACTTAATTTTCAAAGAGCAGTACATATTTTTTTTCCCGACATAACGAGGTATAATGAAAAAGGTTTATTCATTAGGTAAGAAACCAAAGAGAAAGATAATTGTTTAGACAATAATGGAATCAATAACTAAAAAATGGAAAATTTGATTATAAATCTGATTATAATCAGAAGTGTCTCGCAAAATGAATAAAAAAATAATTTCATGGCAACAGTTTAAACTCAGAGAAATATATGGGGAAAAAACTGTAAAATAACAATTAAAAAATAAATAAGCTCAAATTAATGAATTGATATTGTATCCAAATATAAATAATAATATACCTGTTGAAGTGAAGAATTCATCCCCAATAGTACAGACAATCAAAGAACACACCACAAGAAATGTCAGTTCCTTTACAGCCATTATATCAGACCTTCAATAACTCAAAACAAAAATATGTTTATGTATCTAGAAGGGAACTAGCGAAGTTTAAATACAGTCTGTTTATATGCATCATTTAAAGACACACCTGTATCTGCCCACATTTTCCAATTTCCCAGTACTGCAGTCAAAGATTTCTGAAATGAAAGTGAAAATTAACATGAGTGAGCTCACATGACAATAACGATGCTTCTTTCATTTCTTGTACATATTAATTAGATGTACCTAATAACTGACCAACCATTGTTGTGTCTGTTCGATCATGAGACCTGTTTTAAAACCATTTAACACTGTAAACACAATGGGCATATAGAATTTTTATTTACTATATTGAACTTTTTTCTATTAGTCATTTGTTTACAATCCTTATTGTGTTTGCTGTGCAAGTATTTTTTAGACTTACTTGAAATGATCTACTTTACGAAAAGTGTGCCGCCCAGTTCTTTTAAAGCAGGAATAGGTTTCACAACCAATCCCTCGCATATCATCACAGGCTGTCAGGTTGACATACCAACAGACTATTTAAAGACAAATATTTTTCACCTTGCAGCCTCACTTGTGGTATTTACATCAGTTCAGACACTGGCCAAATTTCTAGTGCCTTCATAGAGAGAACAACAAAATAAAAATAATTCAGTTATCTAATTCATCTGTCATTCAAAATATTGTTATAAGAATGCTGTGTTAGCAACCAAGTCTGCATCACATGTGAGTGTGACTAATGCAGAAACTAAAAGTTAAAGTACATCATTACGTCAGCATATATGCAGAGGCGGACAAAGTACTCAACTCCATTACTTGAGTGAAAGTACAGATAATGCTGGTCAACTATTACTCCATTACAAGTAAAAGTTGTAAAGACAGATTTTTACTTAAGTAAAAGTACAGAAGAACTTGCTTTTAAAAGTACTTAAGTACCAAAAGTAAATTTCCTTTTTTATGTCAATGCACTGTTTTATTGTTGTACGTAGTAGTACTTGCAATACTTCTGAAGCAACTTAGAATACATTGCACCTGCTGAATACACTGACTAACGTGTAGTATATTTGGAATAAAGAGCTTTTAGAATGAAACCTATGGGGAAAAAAACAAAAAAAAAATTAACACCCCTACCCACAAAAGCAGGAGGGTAGTGATCTCACACAGCTCTGACAGTGTGTGTGCACACATCTGCATGTGTAGCCATTCATCCACATCTGAACAGAGTGGACAGTGAAATCCTGTAAATACAGAGTGATAAGGAAGAAAATAAAATCAAACCTTCTTTAAAACCCAGCAACACAACTGTAGCTGTATAACTTTACAACAACAACACTGCTTTAACAAAAAAGCAAAACAGCAAGACTTATTTGACATCAAAACAAAACTTTAAATGCTGTCTAATCGTTCTCGCAGTACTTGGATGTCACACACAGAACGGTCTGTGCAGTGCTGCTTCAAGTCCAACACCTGTGTTGTGTGTGTGCATCATAATTCACACATTGAGGCTCTAAAGTATGTTGACAGCCTTGTTTTCTCCATGTGGGGTTCAAAGACTGAACAGGAGGACAGAGATGATCTCATACTGCAATAACTGTACGTCACGGCCTCTGGAAATCATTCTTGCACTTCCTGATCTCGATTGGTGAAAAAATGAAAGAATATAAATATATTATGTTGAAATGGTGAAATCACTATCAAAAATATCAGTCAATCTCTGTGTATGTCATTCAGCTTTTAGACACTATTGAATTTAAACAGTATCATATCACAATGTGATCAGCTCTGTTCAGATAAGTCTTTCATCACAAAAACACATTTTCTTATCAGAAATCTTGTCAAATAAATTCTAGTTTCCAGGCCATATATGTATTTCAAATATACACATGAATGGTGATCAGAATGTTTTTTTAACATTCAAATGAAAGAAAAAAGGAATTTCACACACACACATGCAAGCACACACACACACATACGTTGGGTTTCTATGTTTTATGGGGACATTTTTATACTTGTATATTTTTATACTTTTTATACAAACTGTATTTTCTATCCCATAACCCTAACCCTACCCCTCACACAAAACTTTATGGATTTTTAGATTTTCAAAATAGTTCATTCTGTATGATTTATAAGTTTGTTTTCTCATGGGGACCAAAAAATGTTCCCATGGGGACATTTGGTCCCCATAATGTAGGGAATACCAGGACCCCCCCTTCCCCCCTCCCCCCCCACACACACACACTCGAGGTTGCTTATTGTGAGGGAACAAAATAAGAAAAAAGCGGAAACAATGAGCAAGAAGGAAACTAAATCCATAAATATTATTGCAGTATAAACATGTGAACAAACCGAGTTTGAGTAAACAATACGATAATTTTTTTTCTAACTGTTGCATCCAATACCTCCAATCCAACAGGCGGCACTAAAATGCTTTTGTACCAAATAAACCCCGTTGTTTCTGTCGTCTGCGGGAAAGACGTCACTTTGGCGCCGAATCGTAGCGCGCGGAAGAAAACATCGGTGCTTCAGAAATTTTAATAACACGCCAAAATATATATTAAAAATATATATTCCGGATTTATTCAGTATCAGCAGTGCAAGACCCCTACGATGCAGCGAAGCATAGCGTGAGTGTGTCCTGCTCTTCTGTTTTTTTTATCCGTGATGTTGACCACAGAACATTCACATTACATGCAGTGTCTGATTCTGATACAAGACCGCGTTTAACCTATAACAACTAACTTACACTAACTGTGACAATAAGGGTTTTCCTTTCAACTGCATTTCTTTATGTCAGAAATTATAATACCGTATCAACTTGAGGGAGTTCATTTGTCTTTATAACGTGATCTCGTTGTTTCCCGCCCACAGGTCATTCTTTCAGCCAATGAAAAGTAAGGAGAAGAGTGATGGACAGGTCAAAGCAAAGATTGAGTAAGTGATATTTAGCAGTGTTTTCCCAATTAAACATGTTGAATTAAGCTTCTTTTTTTTCTAATTGAACACAATGTTGTAGAAACCTCAAAACTAATTTTGTGTTGATTCTGTGTGTATTCTCGTTGGTAACAGTGACAGCTGTGGAGCTGAAGGAATATGAAAACAAATAAGCAATGTTATAATGATAATGTTTTTCTCTTCCTTCTGCTCAGACCTGTAAAAAGTCCCCTCAAAATTCAGAATGGTGTGCAGGAAAGCGATTCACCAGTAAAGAAGATTCATAAACGCAGTCGAGCAATCATAGACAGCGATGATGAAGATCAACCGATAGTAGAAGAGCAGGTGCCAAACCAGAGGGAAGTTGAACCAGTAAAGCCAGAGAAGGTAAGATTTATTGAGTTATCATGAGCTTCGACTAGGGCTGCCACTAATGAATATTTTTATTTCGATTAATTTATCGATTAATCTAAATGATTAATATCCCACCAAAAAAATCTACAATTTTAAAGAACATTTTATTAAACTTGCAACTTTGCCATTCAGTAGTGTACCATAAAAAAGTATAAATGTAAACAAGCCAATGACGAAATTTTAAAATGTAAACAAACCTAATAAAAATGAAATAAAAAGAAAATAATTACAAAAGTCTGAGAAAGTCAGCATGTTCTTAATGTCAATATATCCACATGTTCTGGGTTACAGCTGTGAGTGCAACTACAAAGGGGGAACAAATCTGTTTAAATGAACCCCAACAGTTGGGTTTTCACATTAAATAAATGCAATGTTTAGAGTCCACTAGAACCAAGTATTAAAATGTTATTATTAAAAGTTATTATTATTAAACATTTTAAGTATTAAAAGTACTCTTAGAAATGTGTAAACAACAGATTTAAACAGACATCTCCAGCATGATGAAAAAAATTAACAGAGGGCTTCAGTAGTGAAACTCCAAATGAAATCCAAATTTCTATGAGATCCTTTTTTAAAGCAACAGAGAGTGCAAGAAGCAAGTGTCCATCTCATAGTTCAAATCACTGAAATCAAAGTTCAGTATTATAGTGTAAGAATGACAACATGTCCACGAAATAATATAATCTCTATTATAGATCAGTGAATAGAGCTAATGTACAGTACGCATTACAACAAAGGCCTGCAGGGGGCGCCAACGGCCTGACGATTGTTTTTACACATTACGTTGCGATCTAATACTTGTTTAACTCTTTCCCCGCCATTGACGAGTTATCTCGTCTTTTAGAAGACAACGCTTCCCCGCCAAAGAGTACAAAACCTCCCAAACAAAAACACACGTGAACAGGACGGAGAAACGAGCGATCTCTTATGTAAACCGATGCATATGAAAAATAATGCGATCATCAGCAATGGCAGCATATAAATGAAAACTGCATAATGTTACGGAGTAAAATGTTGATCCAGGGAGTGGTATATGTCTGTGCAAGCTTTGGAGGTGTTGATAGAAGCGATTTACTGGATTTATGCTTTGATAATCGTACTGAATATTACCCAGATGTAGTTTTTGATAAAAATTTTATTTTTGCTCAAAATTATGCATTCTTATGAAATCTACCTATATTCAAGTGTTGATAAAAAAAGAATGCTTTAAGCTAGAATAAAACTGATTTTTTTTTTGTTTAAAAGTTGACGCTCTGATCTTTATTTTGGTGTATTGCATATTCAAATATTCATACAGAAAAATATTCTGGAGGCCATAAAAATTTTAGTGAAAATCATCAAAATCACTGGCGGTGGCTGGCAACATTTCTGACATTTCAAAAATGCTGGCGGGAAAAGAGTTAATATTGGCCAAGCATCATTTAATTCAAATGTCCACTTAATCTTAAATATTTGCCCATTTCTTTATGACAGAAATGCTATAGTCACTGTGATTAAATGAATATGTGGACATCAAAACGTGTAAACTCAGAGTGAGGGTTTGAGCTTTTATTTTGCATGGATTTATAAATGATTCACCTTACAAATCTGATGAAATGGCGCACGTTGCGTTCCCAGATGAACGTTTTAATAAACCCAAACTCACAACAACA